CAGTGGATGTTTGGCCGCAAATTCTGCGATTGTCTTCCGTTGTGTTGCAGCCAATAGTGGGAGCCATAGATGGAAAGGGAGACAACGAGTGGTGTTCTGTTGCAGAGGTTTTAAGACATTAAGGCTTGAGTTGACTATCAATGAGTGGTTAACTCACCGAAGATTACCCGCAGAGAGCAGTGCTCTGAAGCTATACATCACTGACGCTCTGATACTCTTAGAGTAGATATTAATTGTAATTAATTGTGAATTAAAAGTGAATTGCAATCAAAAATTGAAACCAAAAGTGAGTCTTATTTGTGATACAAAACCAATAATTCTCGACAAACTGTTTGACAGATATTTGGCATTAGATTTTGAATTTCATTTGATTCTGACTGTAAGACCACGAGAGTCACACAAATACAACCTCAAAATACGTCCAATAATTACAAGTTTTTACAGTTCCTTACAGTTTGTGAGAAATGAAACCAGAATTGAATTAATTTACAAGCATTTGATACAATAAATATTAACTAAATTGACGAGAATTTAAATTTTGAATTTAAATTTCTGCCACAAACTGTTACAATAAATAACAATTACCGTTGATTTCCATTCAAACTGTGATTATGAACACATAGATAGTGTCCACTCATTTTCTTACATTCAAAGTATATAAAAGATGTTCACATTTAGGCATTTGGTGTGCATTTTGAATAAGAGGTTTGTATTGAATGAGAATTGAATTTAAGATAATCTGTGGCTTTGGTTTATAACAGCACTCCAGCGGTGGTAACCATTCCTGTCGTTGGACTCAACTATTGGTCACAACAGAGGAGAAAGGATTCTTCGGAGCACTACTTGTGGCCAAACATTCAATTGAATTCAGCTATGGGTTTGAGAAGTGCTTATTTGACTCATACAATGCCATCGGACTTCTCAAAGGATAAGATGAAAGCCCACGTTATACTCAAAGTCCACTTCATTCCCCATAAAGAGGACTACGACGGACCAAACCATATGCTGGGCTCCGGGTTTATAGTCCACGAACAGGGAGTCATTGTGACGACCACTGCAACCGTCAGGAACTATGGATATGTAAAGGCGCGGCTCTGGGATGACAATGAGTTCAGAGAAGTTAAGGGGAAAGTGGTGGACCGGGCGTATGATAAAGGGTTTGCATTAATCCAACTGATGGATGAAAACAATCCTCAAAAAGTGTGGCCAACGGTTGAATTGACCACAAAGTATGGCAACAACTGGCCGGTTGGCGATGAGGTCTATGCGGTGGCGAATCCGCGATTCAATTACGAGATGAGTGTCACGAAAGGCCGATTCACGGGACAGCCTGTCGTTGGGGCAAAGATTAGCGATTTGTGTATATCTCGTGAGCCATATATCCCACACTCAGCGACAGTGGGTTCGGGTGATGCCGGGGGCGCACTGCTCGACACCGAGGGAAAGGTGATTGGCATGAATTTCGCACAGTATGATAAATACAGAAACTTTTGTTTGTTTCATAGAGAGATTGGAGGTATAAATAACACTGATTTGTATGAATCATAACTTGTATTAACATTTGATTGCAACCAATATATAGAGTATATAAAGAAGAAAGAGGACGACTTCGCAGAGTTTAAGATTGATTCCGCCCCTCAGGTTGGAGCTATGGTTTACTGGTTAGACAAAGGGTCTCGTGAGGGGGGCCTAAACGATAAGGCGGAACGTGAAGGCGTTCAGCTCCCAGACACCAATGGTATTCTCGTTTGGGGCACAGATGTGGACGGCGGCAGGTATTGTCATCGCAATAGTCTATGAATGAAATGAATGCCATTATAATGAATATGTTGTCCGCTATAGTATACTAAAGGCTAATAACACAAGCGATCGTTTGCAGCGATTAGATGTCATCACTCATGTCAATGGTGTGGAAGTGAAGGAAATGATGGACTTATATAAGGCAATCGACAAACAGTCCGAAGTGAAGATCAAGTTTGTCAGGAGTGGTAACACTGAAGACGCGACGCTTAAGAAGAAGTCCATAAAGTGGTCTTATGTTTAAATGACACCCTTTCGTCACAATTATTATTATATGTTTTAAAATTTAAATTTATATCAATTTATTGCATATTATTCTTAAAGATTATCTTTATTTGTTATTTTTCTTTTTCAATATATTTTCTTACTTTTATAATTTAAATGTTTATTTCTACATAAGTTCAAAAAGTCATTAATTTTAATTGATTTGTTTATTAAACATTTTTATACTGTATATATACAACAATTGTGAACTTATTTTTGGTGAACAGCGATAACAACTCACACGATATGATTGAAATGATCCCAGAGTTGACACAATTGAAGGCTTTGAGTATCCGTTTGAAAGAAAGAAACAATTTATCAAAACTATTCAGATGTTTGCCAAAAGGTGTCAAGTATTTGCACCTAATATCCGGATATAATGTCGTATTCACGCGAGATTTGGCTGAAGAACTTGTGGCTGGAAATGGCATACATTTGGATCAATTGATTACTCGATATATTAAATTACCAGAAGAAACATTGAAACTAATCATTAATAAACTAAATTTAAATTCATTAGCATTTCAATCGGATTCAAGTGATGATTCAAACGATTGGATGAAATTGCAAAGAGTGGCCAAAATGCAGACAAACCTAATATAATATATTTGGCACTCAATGGACACTCATTTCTTGGCTATGAATACACGGAAAACATGAACAGATTCTCAAGAGTCAAAACACTTCGGCTCTACTGTTGTCGTGTAAATGAGTCTACATTTGAATGGTTTCTGAAATGCTTTCCCGCACTCAAGACATTAATCTTATGGCAGACACGCATTGCATGTGTTATACATGGGTATCGTTGTGTGACATGTTTTCGACAAATGTTTCATTTGATCCAAAGTTAACAAGAATTTGTCGATTAGTTCTCTATTGTGAAGATATCTCAACAAATACACAAGTTTTGTGTCAAACACTACAAGAGTTGACAAATCTATCGGCCATTGATTTGCAGATATTTTTCGATTATCATTATTCAAAAAATGTAATTAATTGTATTTAATACTATTTTCTGACTTACTTTTACGATTGACACTAATCCGTAATAAAACTATCGATAAAATAGCAGTCAATAGGAATACAATGAATACAATGCTGTAAAAAATATATTAAATTTTATACACATGTCATTTAACTTAATTTACGATTAGATTAATATATGAGTGAGTCTATAAAAATTTGTTAAATAAAAAAAATCATACAAAAATGTGCAAACATATGCTTACATGGTAACTTTTTGAACCCAATTAAGACTTTTCCGATTTTTCACTTCACACGATATGTCTCTCACTTTTAGACCACTTGTTTGAAAGCCTTTTATGTATAATCAAATAAAACTCATTTCAAACAAACACTAAAAACTTGCGTTAATTATTATGCAAAAGTTTTTTTGTTAATTAAATATCATTTTAAAAATTTCTTAAATACTTGTGTCGACCATATGCCTGATGTCGCTTACGGTGCACTTATTAGGCGTACAGATCCCTGTCCTCATGAAAAAGAAGTAGAAATACGAGGCATCTCTCGATAGCTTTACAAATAGGTTGTTTGCACTCGTATTCACACCTTTAGGCAAAATATCGATTATATCGAAATAGTTTTCATACTCGGGTGCACCGCTTTTGGGCACCGGCACCTCAACGTCCACCAGACAGCCCTGCGGGTGGCCTATAGCGGGGTTGGCCGGGATGGACAGGCACTGGTCGTAGTCGCCGAAGTCGGTGAACGTACCCCTCATGAGGCCTTTGGGCGGGAAGTCGCCCACGAGTTGACCATTTCGTAGGACCAGTCGTCCAGGCGTTCAAACGACTGTAGAGTATCGGCGATACTCTGGCGACAGCCGGCGCTCATATTGACTGCCCGTATGAGGCCTTGAATGAGTTTCACTTTCGGCTCGTCCCTCAGGATGTAGGCGCTGTCCATAATTTGTTGCCATTTGTGATTAATATGAGTATTATTTGAGCCCATTTTCACGGAACTTATTAATTGGATAATAATCACTAGTATTACATAACTTGAGTGGAGAAAAACTTTTTGCAATGCAGTACTCATTGTGATAATAAAATAGCACTTAATTCTTATACTTTTTATAACAAAAATTTAAAACTTTTAATAAAAATTAACAAAAAAAAGTTGAATTATAAATTGAAATAAAATTTTATATTATAGTATAGAATCTATAAATTGAATGAAACAATGTTTATAATATGAGTTACTGTATACAGTATATAAACTTTTAGGCAAACTATAGGGCAACACCACGTGTTTTGAACGGGTAATGGGGGGAGTCAACCCTATTGTTTAGCAATTCTGATAATTAATTAAATGTTTTTATTATACAGGGTCAGTAGCTCGAGTGTGATTGACCATAACTATGCACGTAATACTATTGGTGACAATTACTTGAGGGATGACTGGGTGGCGCCTACCGTTCACCCGAGTTCACAGTTAACCAAGCGAAAAGGTTTGATACTATTATTTATATTTACATATCGTATTTGATTACTAATTACATAATTCATTATATGGTAAATAATTTGTTTATGAAAATGTTAATTTTATTTTCAGGCTAATTGTTAATGTTGAAAATGTTAATTGCTTAAAAAACCACTAATTCGTTAGTCGACTGTTTGAGATTTGTATGGAAATTATCGACCCTTTTGAGTGCTAATTATAAGCTAAATGTATGACTAATTAATTTTTCACACAATTTCATAATTATGAATTTATGATTGAAACTCAAATAACGTTAAACGAAGTATTATTGTATTAATTCCTATTTTGGTTATATTGAATAAATATTATTTTTCAAAAATGTGTATAATTAATATCATTTTAATTTACTTGAATTTTTGGTTAATATAAAATTGAATTATAATTATTTTGTGTTAACATAAAATGAATGGAAATCATATTTAATTTTCTAAAAACAATTAATCAATAACGAGCTCTACATCATTGAACCCATATTTACACTTATTATCGTTGAATAGTTTCTCTAAACTCTTAATATACTGTTTGTGGAGTCGATTGATCTCATCATCGGACGGGTTGTCCACTTTTGGCACGTCTATAGGCTTACCCACTAAATACCCGACAAAATATGAATATATAACTTGAAAACAACTACCCAAACGCCAAAACAATGTATAGTATAATACTTACCGACTGTGGTGACTGGTCTACGACGGGGAATGATGGTACTGGGTATGGGTATGGCAACATGCAACTTAGCTAGCACATACTCCTGACATTTACGGAACCACGAGTCCGGTGCGAATACTTTCTGTTCGTATAAATCATTTTCGCCAAACGACAGCACCGGTACCAACGATGTGCTGGTTGTCCATAAATATAATATACAGTCCATACAGTGCTAAACACAAACATATCATGCATACAATACCCGTGTGTTAACGCAATTTTCATGAGCCCTTTCCTGTTCTTGAGACTCAATATCATGGTATTGGGCAGTGAGTAGTGGGCGTCGCGAAACCCGCCCACGATTACAGCCACCACTTGCCCACCGGTGCCCTCTTTGCCACTAATCGGTGTAATCAACAAATTCATTGTTTTAATTGCCATTTGTATCAAACAATTGTATCAAACATTTTTAGACTTTAAGTATCAAATGATTATATATAACTTATTTTCACCTGTTCACATATAATGTACACACCTTATACACCATTCGATGCTGGATTTATTGACCGAGATGAAACCTGCAC